TAGGGCATGAGCAGGCCGAAGTTGGCTGACCCCAGGAAGCTGAGGGCTAGTATCTTATACGCCAACTGACGATTCGCTGGTCGACCTGGTGATGATGGGCTGTTAACGATTGCTGACATTGATGATTGGAACTAAAGGAGGTTACCATAGTGAGTGAAAAATTATTTCACAGAATCGGATTATTTCGCTCGAGTACAATCGTTTTGTACAAAAGCGGTTTTGTGCAAAAGTGGCAACGCCCTTGTAAAGGGCTAATAATGAAACCGCCAATAACTTGCACACTTGAAAAAAACGAATAATTCCTTATATTATATCAGCACGTTACCTGCGTGTATATACTAAGATGGTACTAGGAAAGAGTAGTGGTACAATGCAGACCTCCACCATTGGGGGTATCCTCTCCCTCGGTGGCGACTCTATACAGCAACAACTACTCTTGACGGCTATCGAGAAAATCGTATTAAAGGCAGTCAGGACAGTGAGTAGTTGTTCGCGAGAAACGACTAAGTCATTTTCAACGGACAGGTGAACGCTGACGTTCTTGAAGCTGTAGCGAGTGACAGTGTGGAATTCATCGAAAAGATGGTAGAGTCGCATTTCAAAACGATAATACAGCAGTTGACCGAGATAAGGAAACATCTCGGCATGGAAATCTGTGCTAATAATACTACAACGAAGGAGACAGGAACACACAAAATACGCAAGGCAATTGCATCTCGATTTCAATCGAATCAAGATCGACCACGAACTGATAGCAATGAACCCCCTCCGTGCGGGAATGATGATAAGAAGAAACCTCAAATAGTGTTGGAGGAATCTCAGGGGAGTAAACTACTACCTAAAGAAGTAGGAAAATGGAGTGTGATAATAAAGAGACATTTTGTGTAGGAAAGCAGCAAGCCGGAGAGAGCGGAAAATGAAGATAAAGTGGCGACTCAGAACGAAACCGGTACATCGCGGTCTCGTTGGCGAACACCACGCGAACTGGTTTTGAGGAGTAGCTTACATAAGATCACTCTATCGCCGATAGTCCCAACGGGTCGCCCGTCTGAGGACACTGCGAGACGAGCAGAACCCCCACGAGAGCTGCTGCCAGGGATGGTACGGGAAACTGAGGAGGAAATGTTCAAGCCAGCGAGGTTCTCGAGACATGAAACGACGAACAGAAACTTTATGGGGCCGGATGACGCTGAGAAATTCGAGGAAAATGCAGTCACGAAACTTGAGAAAAAGCGGGGTAAAAGTATCATGCCCGAGGTCCGAGTGATGCCGGCTACGATTGGAGCCACTGAACTGAATAGCAATAGGAGCACTGGTGGGAGAGTCATAGCGTCTCCCGAGAGGTTCGCCAGTACGGGTAGAGTGCCAACTCTACCGCGAAATACACGAATTACCAGTAACCATGCGAGAGCCTCATTACAGTTCACCCTACATCGTGCCACGGAGGTGGGTTTAGAAAATCGACAGTATAAACAGCTCGGCTTTCTACGTCAGGATTCGGCCGCCGAGAACGCTTCTGGTGAACGCGAGGGGGAGGCTCCCATTGGTAGGCACTCCCCTTACACGATCTGGACAGTTGCACATTTAGTAGATTCCCTGGATGGACTCGTTGATGATGTTGATAAAAAGATGGTGCATGTGAGGAAACTAGCGGCTCAGTTCAGGATGGAGATCGATGGCGAGGAAACGGCACTCACCCAGCGTAAGCCAATCGGTGTGGTCAAAAGACTTAGGACTTGACATGTGAGAAAGGCGATTTAAACTCATATTCACCGCGAAACGGAGTCTTTTATAATGTGTATCACTAGTGTTAGATGTCAATAGTCTCCTTACACGAGTTGGGCTAGAAGTGTAAAGAAACCAATAAGAATTTTGCTAAATTTCTCTAGAATTTTGCTAAAGTTCCAAATTTTCATCAACACATGTAGTTGACAATGTGACTATTCCCCTCCCCCACACTGTGTGTCACAGGGTAAGTAGCATGAGCCAAAGCTAGTGTACGCGCAGGAGTACCTATGCGCGACTGTGAATACAGCAGAGAGGTATTTGTGGTAGATCTTCAAGAGATTCAATGCTTGAGCTGATACCTTGCGGAAGGTTTTCAACCCGACTCCAACCGGGATAAGGAACCGGGCGGTTCTCTTCTGCACTATCGAACCTGTTTGCTGGGCACGGCCCGTGCAGATCGTATTTGACTTCCGTTGCTGGTTCGTGGCTCGTAGTCGATAGCACAAGTCGGAGGGAGCTGTAAAGACCTCGTGCAATCCCGCAGAAGAAGCAGTTACAACTCCTCACATACTGTTATGTCCGAAACTTGATTTTTGATTGAAACAGGCCCACTGTGGGGCACTTTACGAGTAGTCGCCCTTACACACTCACACTAAATCGATTTTCGCGGGTGTTTCGAGCATCGTGGCCGTTGGGTCCCACTGGGATTTTACCAAAGTAAAATCTGAGAGTGATTCGGATTCCTCCTCGCGGACCTCATTCACTGCCACTACGCGTCTCCATCGATTTCGCGCTGTCCCATATAGGAATCTTGTGGCGCTGATGGTTGTGGTTGCTGTAGATGCTACCACTGATGATAAGGGAACTTTCGGACACCGAATCAGTGTGAATTCACAGGCTCGATCGAAACGATTAAATCAAGAAGATGTAACCTTCGCTGTCAACCCGGAAGTCCATCGTCTTATCATTGGATAGCTCGAGAGAATGGTGTCGCTCATCCCGGATGAGAGAAATGACACCAGAAAAACGTGGGGGAGTCTAGCCGCGTTTATGGAGGACCCTAGGGAGGCCCTCAGTTCTGGCGCTAGGCTAATGGTTGCGGACCCGCACTCACAGAAAAGGTGGGTTGGTTGCTCACAACGCTAACACTATTGGAGTTCCATCCGTGATGTGAAAAACACATGTCTCATTTCACCTCGCGAGGTGTAAAATACGTGATGTGTTTCGCGTGATATGTCCGGCGTAATTCCCGAAGTGTTTTCGCTTCACTTCATATCGCGAATATCGGACCTTTCACATAAAATGTTACACCACTTCACGTAAAACTCCCTTGCATCAGGTTGTCCTGGGACTTGGTTATATCCATTTTGCTCATGTATCACGCAACGATCATACCCTTCTTCCTATCCTTCTATTTAACTGATGAACAACGGGCGGAGTCTCAACTCATAAAACTACTGCCAGTCCAGGATCTCGTATTCGCCATCAATATTATCGTTACGTGTTTCACTGGGTTCCACAAGGACGGCGCACTAGTTCGCGATCCCAGAGTTCTCACAATCCACTATTTGAAAACCTGGTTCGTGATCGACCTCATTGGTGCCTTTCCGTACATTGTGTTCGCCAGCGAGTCTGCACTATGCTTGTGGCTTCGGCTACTACGACTTGCTATCGTGGTCAGAACTGCGTATCTACGCCATCAAATAATGAGTATCATTGAATACCGAATGGAAAATGAGATCTTGCTACTTATGGTTGGAGTTGTGAAATTGGTCATGTTGTTGATACTGGTCGCTCACTGGGGTGCCTGCATTTGGTGGGCAGTTGGTGTGAGGGGATATCTAGCTGAAGAGGGACCTCGGGGGTGGATAGCAGTAAGTTCACCCGGGTTCAAATTCTGGTGGGTGCATTTTCATCAGTGTTGGGAGAATATATGTTCGCTTTCCCCAGTTGAGCTCAGGAGCTTCGTCACTAACTATAGTAGTTTACACAGGCACTCAAAAAGGAGTGTACAGAATCCAATAAAGACTTCCCAAAATCTCCTCAGAATTTTCATATTGTCACCAACATGTGTAGTTGACCATGTGCACATTTTTCCCCCACACACATTTTTATTCCAGGAGTTCGGCTCTGTCGATGAAGACTGGTGGCAATCGAATCGTATACAACAATATGCTACTTGCCTCTACTTCATGACGTCCACTATCACTACTGTGGGGTATGGGGACATTCATGCCTCGAGCCATGCTGAACGAGTGTAAGCCATTTTCACTGCACGTGGTAGACTACACGTGCTGGTGACAATATATGAAAATTTTGAGGAGTTTCGGGAAATTGTCATTGGCTCTTGTACAGGAAGACTCTCATGTGATGATGTACGGGAGGTCCATTCCTACATAATTCTCCATTGTTCCTATAGTTAGGAAACTCCCAAGCTCGGCTGATGAAAGCGAACATACATCCAAACGCTGGTCGCAGGTTTTGCATTATATGCGAGATTCTAGCTGGCAACCTGTTTGCGTTGTTTTCTGGTCTATTATGCTCGTTGATTTTGACCTACGACGAAGTTGGTGCCGACTTCAGGGCGCGGCTGAAAACCGTGATGAGGTGATTCCCTGCATCAACCAGACACCTGTGAATTCACTGGTTCGATAGATACATGCATAGCAACAACGTTGATCGCGGAGTTCAAATGAAAGTGCGACGCTTCCTTGAAAGGCTATTTCAGAATCAGGCTAATGAGCAAGCGAAAACTGCATTGCTCACGTGAGCGATAAAGGGCACGTTTGTGAGGGACTTTGTGGATTTTGGGATTTGCTGAATTTACGTTGTGCGACGCGGATATGCACAGCTGAATTGTGTCATACGAAATAAAAATAATTATTGAGAATATGAAAAATTTCATTTTTTTCTGATTCTTTTTCTGATTTTTTTTCTGATTTTTTTCTGAATTTTTCCCGATTTTTTCCAGGTTTCCTTTCAGGATGCTCCGAACGTCGGATGGTCTCCGTCATCAAGTATTGGTTGGTGTTATGGGGAAGATGCTGAGACACTATAAGTGGTTCGATATGAAAATCACTGATGCTCAGCTCGGCCGGGTTGCCTCCGTTGTGATCACCAAGTGGGAGTCTTGATTTAGTGACAGCTTCTGGGTTGACGCTATTGCTAACGCGTAACTTGTTTTACCCGTCTCGCTTCGTGATACATATTTTTGTATTAGTATGACTATATTTTGTATATGATGTTGTTTGTATAGTAGCTTAGTGATGAAATCCTTTGAATGCTACGGCCGAAGTCGTTCAGTGTGGTAGAGTTTATATTGTTAGTGTGGAGAAGCACGATGAAGCTCATTATTGGAGTTGGAGTAGGAATATATGTTTGTTTTCCTCACTTGAGCTGATTATAGAAGTTTACACAGGAAACTCGGGTAGAAGTGTGTAGAAAGCATTGAGAAATTTGCGAAATTTCATATCATCAACACATGTGGTTAACCACGTGAATATTCCTCCCCCTACTGAAGGTATTTCGCACCGGGGGATTTGGTATTCTATGCTGGTGACAAGGCTGAGTGCATGCTCTTTGTGGTGAGGGGGCTTATCAAATGCAAGAGGGATAGAACACGTAAGGTGCCGCTACACCTTATGAATGTTTTTACCCGTTTTA